CAATTTATAGAACTTTTACTGTTATCCCACTTCACTGTGCATTTATTATGTTGTCTCATAATTCCTTTGTACCATTCAGTAAAGAAATATTATTTGAATGCCTTTCTCTATAAGGCATTGTTTTAGTTGCAGGGGAGATAGCCCAAAAACCTACTGGTATTAATTTGATTCCAACTCATTTCCATCCCTATAGGGAAGAGTGTAACTGTTCTATTGGGTTTTTGAGGCTGTCTGTAAATCTTTGTGAAGGCACATTGACTGTCTCATCTTTCTCCCATGGATCTGCTGGTGGGTTTGAGTCACTGATCTTCTGGCTAGCATCTCCACACTTTACCCACTGTGCCACCAGAACTTCTTAGGGGAGACAGCAGTAGGTACATTTTAAGCCAGACTATTGGCTTACATTTTTATCTGCCAGTTTCCCTTTCCTCCTCCTTCTTAGCTTGGATTGTTGTTTTTACATGCCATCTATTCAGTTCCAACTCATTGCAACCCTGTATAGGTTTCCACGGAGCAGCTGGTGGGTTTGAACTGCTGACCTTATGGGTCACAGTCCAGTGCTTATCCTACAGTGCCACACTAGGAGTCCATAGAGATATATGAGTTCATAAAAGTATGAGGACTTTCTTACTCACTTTTATGTCCCCAGTGTCAGACATATAGTAGTTGCAGCCTACATTGTTGTTTAATTTTACCACATACTGTTTTTGAAGTTCCTCACAGGTCAGATAACAGGCATGTTCCTTTCCCATAAGCAGTTTACAAAGAAGTAAGCAAAACTACCTTGAATATGTGATTTTTTTTTATTTTTTTTTTAAAGAATAGAGAGGGCATTCACCAGCACAATGCAAAAAATGGTTTGTTTTTGCTTCTTGTGAGGACACTGTTATCACTAAACCTTGACAAATCCAGCCTGCCCCCGATGAAGTTGATAGCAGGGAAAATAAAGTGAAGGCTGTCCTCTGCAAGGACCTTTTTAGAGAGAAGATTTTTGGGTAGGAGGCAGGAGATGAAAGAGATAGAGAATAGTAGCATAGCTTATACTTATTCTTCCTATAGGAGTGACATTATGTCCAAATGTCATTTTATCAAAAATAACCAGTGCAGTATAAATATGACTATTTTGTAAAATTAATGTTTTCCGTTATTTGCAACAGAAGATCTTTTAAACAGATGCTTCATTTAGCTGGTGGCTTTTAGGAATTGTGTCCCACTGCTGGAAACTCACGGCTAGGAAGCGTAACTCGTTCAGGTTGATATTTTGGTATACTTTCCCATTCCTTTATTCTGGTTTAATTTAGCACTCCAAACCTGTTGCCCTTCACTTGATTCTGAATCATAGGAAACCTGTACACCAGTCTCGAAGTGCTTCATAGGGGTTCCTAAGGTTTGAGCTTTACAGAAACCAGCTGCCTCATCTTTCTCCCACAGAACAACTGGAAACTTGAAACACTAGCATTTCAGTTAGCAGCCAAGCATTTTAACCACTGTCCTAACACCAAACTACAACCATCAAGTCAATTCCAATTTAAATCTTTACAGAGTAGACGGCCTCCTCTTTTTCCCAAGTAGCCTGTAGTGAGTGCATTTGAACCACTCAGCAGCCCAACTCCTAACTCTACCAAGACACATCAGTTAGTGAGGAATTCAGCTGCTTTTTTCAAAAGTCACCTTTGGGCTTCTAATTTATAGTGGTGAGAGAAGGAGATGTAGCCCACGAACCAATAGAAATGCTTTAACAAAGTGCTGGAAGAAGCGACTAACTTGGCTTTCCTCCAGGTGGGCTTTATGGGTGCAGGTTCTTTGGTAAAGGACTACTGTATAGTTTGGTAGAGGGAGTTGGTATTAGGTTCCAACTCATAGAGACTGCACACACAACAGAACTGTTGCTGTGTTTGAGCTTACTGCTCATGCTCCCGTTCCAAGCCATCTCATTGGGGTTATTGGGGCCTGTCAGGAAGGGATTTCTGCATAGGAAATACAGAAAGTGACTGAAGTGGTTATTGTAATTGCTAAGAACCATCAGACCTTTGTAGAAGAGAGAAGACAGGAGTCTATGAGAAACAAGCTTCATTTGTAGAAAGAGTGCTGATCTGGGTGACCTGGATTTGACATCTCATGCTCCGGCTTTTTTGCTGAGGAGCTGTGGAGAAGTCAGTTAGCCTTTCTGAACCTACTTTTCTTATCTTTAAATTGAGAAAGTTGAAATACATGATTTGTAATTTCCCTTCCAACAGTAGCATTCAGTGATTTTAACTTATCTGGCAAAGGAAGTGGTCTGTGACTTTTTCTTCAAGGGTTAGTTTCTGCTATAACTACAGTGTGCTTTGAAGGTCAGACTTAAATGTATCCCCTTGCCTTGCCCCTCTTTGACTTCTGCAGGATCATTCCCTTTCTGCTACAATTTCCCTTCAGAACCCTTCTCCTGAACTGCGTTTGGTAGTAGTGTCACCTTGCCTCCCACTCTCTGTTATTAGAATTCATTATAGACACTTCAGCTAGATTAGTGTCACCCACCCTCTTCTGTATAAAAATAATCTGGAGTGGATCTCCATTGTCATCCAAAGAAAGGCCAAACTCATTAGTTGACTATCAATCTTAGCTCATGTTACTCCCCTTCACGTAAGCTACTGAAGAGTTAGACTGAAATTAATATCCTCTCCGTGCCTTTGCTTGTGTTGTTCCTCCGCCTAACTATGCTCTGCCGTAGGGCCACAATTTTACCATCTCAGGTGCCATCTTTATGAAATCTCCTAGGCTTCAGACAGCCCCAAATAATCCCTTTCTCCTCAACTCCCATAGCACCCTTTCTGCCCCTGTTAGTACTAATTACTTTGTTTTTAATTCTATACCATCTTCTCTCTCGTAACTAAACTAAGCTCCCTGATGCTGTGTTAACCTTACATAGGGGTGGGTGTTCAGTAAATGTTTGTTGTCCTAGTTGGCAGGATTTCTTATTTCCTTTGGGAATCACTAAAGAGAATATAGAAGAAAACTCTGTCTACAGCAATTAATAAATTAATGAGACTAACAGCAAAGTGTATTGTTTTCAAGTGCCATCGAGTCAGTTCTGACTCGTAACAACCCAGTATAGGGTTTCTGAGGAATAGCTTCGTGGGTTTGAACTGCTGATTCTGTGCTTTGTAGTTAACCTATAGCACCACACCAAGAGTCTTACAAGGTGTTGTTAAATGCCCTCTAGTTGATTCTGACCCATGGCGACCCTGTATAGGGTTTTTAAGGAGAGGCTGCTGAGCTTGAACCACCAACATTATGGCTCAAACTGACTTTACATTCCCTCACATTAGCCCACTGGGCTACACCAGTTGTCGATGTGTTAAAAAAAAAAAACAAAAACACCCAAATTTGTATTTAAGATAAGCAAAATGTTTTCAAGCTTCAACCTGCCTTTTAATTTTGGATTTCATTTCCAAACTTGGTCTTTCAAGGCAATATTTCAGTTGAATTACCTCAAGGTAGCTTGTAGTTTCTTTATGTCAATTAATAACATAGCAAATATTTTATTTATTCATTTTTTGGGTCTTATGAAGGTTTTAGAGTGAACATTTACAGACTTAGAACTTTTTAATGATTTATACAAGAGCATTCATATTTTCTATAGTTGAAGTAGATTGTCCATTTTAGTATACCCTACTGTATAACTCCGCTTGACAGTGCACTCCTACCACCAGCATATAATTGGTGAGAAAATCAGAATTACATCTATGCACATACTTCATGCTTTCAGAACCATTAATCAACCCATAAACTATAGCAGGTTCTTGGACAAGAGTTTGCATGCTAGACAACACCTTATTTATACAAACTCCTGGCACACTTAAGGAGTATAAGAGGATTTACAAACTTCTGTAGTGGTGACTTAGAGCACATTCTGTGAGAAAACACTAGCTTATTTTTTGGGTTTGAGAACGTAAATAGAATCACCTAAAATTTGCCACTCTACTTTTTGTCCCAGTGGCTTCTGTTCATTAATCTTCGTTTAGAAAACTTTACTGAGATGAGCTAAGTTTTTTGCATTGTTTCCCTAAACCCCAAGCTAGTTACCTCCATCTCACCTAGGATTAGACCATTAGGCATTACCTCACTTCTCTCTAGATGATGTAAGATGAATCTCAGTTCTAGCAATCTCCTATTTTCAGTTATATTGTTGTGAGAAAAAGAAACACACACCCAGTTTCCTTTGCCACACAATGACTCTATAAGACAGAAGTAGAATTGCCCATAGGGTTTCAAGGCTGTAATCTTTGTGGAAGCAGACTACCACATCTTTCTCCCATGGGAATAAGCCGTCACCCTTGTATTTAGCAGCTGCGCTCTTAACCATTGCACTACCAGGGCTCCTTATATTGATTGGTATCTGTTGTTGTAAAATGCCATTGAGTCGAATCTGACTCATAGTGACCTGGTATAGAGTTTCTGAGGAGCAATTGGGGGGTTTGAACCCTCCGACCTTACTGTTCAAACTGTTCTTGCAGTCCAGTGCTTATCCTACAGCACCACACCATGTGTAATGTTTAAATTATTAGAATGATTCTTTAATGTTACTGTAGATAACCTTCCTGCTGGGAATTAGTAAATTACAAACAAACAAACAAAAACCTGGAAATCAATTACATGATTGCTTTTTTATTCTCCCTTAACCATTTAAATAGAAAGCAATACAGCATATGTATATAAATTATTGATTTAGAGAGATAAATGTTTCTTCTCATATGCAGTTAATAGGAATAGGACTTGATAGGATCCGTAGGATAAATACATCTAAGGGAAAAACAAAAATCTTAACTCCGGTGCTTGTCTACCAGTAGCTTTGGAAAAAAGTGCAGCATTGCTTCGTAACAAGCAGTTCTGCTACACTGACCATTAACTTACTTGGTGGTGGTGGTTGGGGGGAACATGGCAGACTAATGGTAAGAAATCACTCTCTGTGTTTGATCTATCCGTCTCACTTTCATCCTCTCTTTCTACGCCTTCCTTAGGAGTTAGAAGCAGCCCTTCACAGAGATGATGTGGAGTTTATCAGTGACCTGATCGCCTGCTTGCTTCAGGGTTGCTATCAAAGAAGAGATATCACGTGAGTTAATCTTGGTCTTACTAAGTATTTCTTGCAAAGGAAACTAATTAGTTCAGTTATAGTGATGCTCCATGTCTCCAGTAACATACCAGAACTGTGATTTTCTCCTTTTGCAGTTCAGCTTTTATTCTATTAAAATATTTTGCTTTATTTCAATCTCACAAACCTATACTGTCAATTATTCTTTGCTACAACAGATAACAAATTCATGTGTAGAATTTCTTCCTGTTAATATATATACCTTCTCTCTGGTTTTTATTTGTAGCATTAGTGAAATGTTGCCTAACAAATTAAAACTAGATTTTTTTTAAATGTTTTATTGTGAATTATGTGATAGTTTATATGGGAGAACATTAGCTTTACATTCATCCTATCATATATCGTTTCACTGCCATGGTTACAATCCCCTCCATGCATCATCAACCAACCAAAAGGTATACCCCGCAAGCCTGTCCCCTGGTCATCAGCACACAGCCCCTCTCCCTCTCTGGGTCTAGAGTCCCCAACCCCTCCATCTCTGGTGTCACTGCTTCTCTGGGTAGGGTCCTGCACTCCTCTCTTCTCCCTTGATGGTTCCAGGGACTTCCACTCCTGGACTGCAAAGTTAACCACTCCCCTCCTTTTGCTACAAAACTTCTGCCTTTACATTCTTCACCCTCACAGTCAGTCCTATTATACCACAAAAGTGCTATCCCCATCTCCTTTCATCAGCCCTGCCCAGACAGATTGGATACTAACTCATTGGAGACGCTACCTTCCTCCACGCCCTCTGGATCTAGACTCCCTTTGGAAAGCTTGCCAATCCCTTCTTACCTTTGTAGCACCCTCCACCCCCATTTTGGGTAGCCAATGTCCAAGTTGTCCATACCTGTCTACTCTGTGTATGGAGAGGGTGGGAATGATCCTCGCTGTAAAGATTTGTTCCCTCTTTTGAGCTACTGCATCCATAAATGTAGTTACTTCATCAAATTGTATCAGATTACTCTTTTTTTCCTCGTCTTTCTTCTTCTAGTTGAGTTCTGATCATCCAGCCTGAAGCCAGGTCAAGTGGGTATTACCTGCAAGTGTGGGTGTTCTTATGCATATCTCCTCACTTCTTATCAGCTGGATGCTTCACTCTCCACTCTAGCCCTCTGTGGCTATGTCACTGACTCTGGACCCAAGAGTCCCCAGGTCTTGCCATACTACTGGCCAACCAGGTTTCCACCCAGGTCCTGGACAGGAGTCTATTGAACATGGTAGGACTTAGCGCACAGCTTCATTGCTATTTTTCCCTCATATCCTTTATCAGTGACCAACATTGTCACCGTCAGAGCACATGTCTGCACGTGTATTCCCCTGGAGTCTTAGTCTTGGAAGGTGGTTTGCCATGAGGGGACCCGACCACTTGGCTTGATGTCTCCTGGGCGAGCAATTTGCTTGTTCTTGTAGTTGGTTGGTTGGTTATGTGCCGTGGAGTCGGTTCTGACTCATAGCAACCATGTACAGGGTTTCCAAGGCTGTAAATCTTCACAAGCGCAGAAAACCTCATCTGTCTCTTGCGGAACAGCTGGTAGTTTCGAACTGCTGAAATCTGGTTCGTAGCCTGATTCGTAACCACTACACTACCAGAGCTCCTTGTGTAGTTAGTCGTAAAACTAGATTTTACTACATGATTTCCACTCATGTCTTCTTTTGTCTACATCATCAATAGCCTGACTTTAACCAAAAGCCTCTAGATTTCCGCAACATAAAACTGCCAAGAAAAATGCTGTCCACACTTTAGAGATGTGCATACATTTCAGAGCAAAATTCTTTTCTCTTGTTTTGACTCTAACTTGATACTTTTCTTGCCACATTTTTATGTGGAACCGATCTATAGGGCAAATTTGCTATAAAGAAATGTCTTCCAATGGCATGTGGAAGTTTGAAATTTATATTTTTCATAGAGTCAAAGAAGACTTCTCAGATATTTTTATACTAATACATTGCTCTTGAGTATCTTATTGCTGGGAGACATGAAGTTGTAAGATGAGAAAGAAAGACTAAATACTGTTTTCTCAGGGTAGAAATGTTTATTCATTTGGAGAGAGGTATTATGCCTAGACTCATTCTTAATATGATAACTTAGATCGCTAGAATACCTAGGTTTTTGATAAAGAGTAGAAGAGACTCTTCAATCATCTTACTATTATTAAGTTTATAAGTGTATTTTTCCCCATTTTGTTTTTGGGACTATAGACATGGGTGTGGTTCATCAGTGATTTTAGACCTTCTGTGTGTGTAATTTCATATCTTGTCTTTTCCTCCATTACAGTGGGTTCTCTTCTTTAAGTGCAGCTGGTGTGTTTGAACTGCCAACCTTTTGCTTAGCAGTCCAGTGCTTATCATCCAGTGCCACATCAGGATTCCAGGCTGGGTTTATGATATGGGATATAGTCCTGAGTTGTTGTTATTGTTAAGTATCGTCGAGTCGATTCTGACCCATAGCAACCATATATAGGGTTCCAAGGAGCAGCTGGTGAGTTTGAACCACCAACCTTACAGCTCAAACAGCTTTGCAGTTTGGTGCATTAACCCACAGCGCTACACCAGTACTCCTATAATCCTGAAAGCAGGAGAAATTTGTGTTTTTAAATTAGTGTTGAAGAAGGAGTATCAGGAGCTATGAACTAGTTAGGCCACAGAGATAAGATGTGGAGAACATGAAGGGGTGTTACAAGGGTAAAATTGATTGATTTAGTGCCTTTAAATTGTGCCCATGTAACTAACATTTCATTGTTAATTCTTTGTTCAATATCTCTTCTTAGGTTTATTGGGCACATTTGTAATATGAATATGAATTTCTTGCTTTATACAAGGGAATATACCTTTTAAACTCTCTTTTTCATACATTTTCTTTTAAATCCGTTTTTCTACAAACTTTTTTTTAAGTCCCCTGGTATTTGACTCATTGGTGTATTGGCTAAAGATCAAGCAATAGAAATGCCCACTTAGAGGTCAAGAATCACTGCGCAAACAGAAATTGTTACCTTTTTTTGCCCTGCCCATCATGTAAATCAAATGTCTAGGGACATTAGTCTCGCTCATATGATCCAAGAGTAAATAGACAAAGGCTCACAAAACAGACTAAATGCTTTAGAGAAAGGAAGACCGCTTAAGAGAAATAAGACCCAATATATCCAGACTACACTCCCAGCTAAGGTTACTCATGGTATAAGTAGATTTGTGTTATCTTTCAGTTATCAACCATGTGTACAGGATGGATTCTGTTTAGCATTAAAAGAAATTGCCTAAAGTGCTACTGGTGATGGTGTGGTTATGTGTCCACTCATAGTGACCCTGTATAGGGTTTCCAAGACCGTAAGTCTTTACAGGAACAGAAGGCCTCATCTTTCTCCCACGGAATGGCTGGTAGATTGGAACTGCTGATCTTGCAGTTAGCAGCCCAGTTTGTAATCCACTACACTACCAGGGCTCCTTAAGTAGTAGTAGTTTGAGCCAAGTACTGATGAATCCCCTTGTAATGAAGATTGAATGCCAGTCCCTGGGGCATGAAAACTATTAAATGCTTTGCTACTAACCAAAAGGTTGGCAATTTGAATCCACCCAAACCAACTAGAAGTGTTTCAGAAAAAAGTTCTGATGGGACGGAGGGATTATAAAGCAAGCAAATGATGCTCATTATTCTCTTAAACTGTACTTTTAAGAGAAATTTGAGTAAGTGAATGATTGCCTTTTTTGGCAGTAAGATTTCACTCTTCTGTATGTGGTATTAAGAAAGTTACTTCTTTGTTTATAATTTGCCTCATTTGTAAAATTAGAATGAAATAATTAGAAATAGCTCTTGTTGTGTGACATTGATAATACATAGAACCCCCCCCCACTGGCATCAAGTGGATTCTAACTCATAGTAACATTTCCTAGGGTTTCTCTGGCTTGTAAATTTCTATAGGAGCAGAAAGCTTCATCTTTCTCCTATGGAGTGGCTGATGGATTTTAATCACCAAGGCTCCAAAATAGTCTCTGGCTGTTACAAAATGCCACTTGCCATTATTATGTGTACAAACATTGTTTTTGAGGGTCATATAGTTTCTTTATTGCCTACTTAACTCTGTTAATGTACTTCAAAAGTAGTCATAGACAATGCATAAATTAATGATTGTAGATATTTTCTAATATGATTTCTATGTAGACATTCAAATTTTTATTTCATATAGTAGTCACTTATAAATTAATAGTCTTTCAGTTTTTTCCAACCTTTTAAAAATATAAAAACTATTATTAACTTGAACTGTAAAAGCCATTCTCAATTCTAAGGTGGTACAAAGACACAATCTGGAAGGGATTTGTTCCATGACCCATAATTTCATTGTTACTGTTCCATTTAATTGGTTCCGACTCATAGTTACCCTGTACAGGCTGTCCAAAGACTGGTTGGTGAGTTTGAACCTCCATCTTTGCAGTTTAAACCAACCACGTGGTTCAGTGCTTATCCTACAGCACCATACCAGGACTCCTGAGCCATTATTTTGCTATCCCCTTTTTTTAGGAATTTAAATAGGCTATTATGCTACATCTAGTCATTCAACCTGTATTTAAACTGGTTTGTAGAACCCATATTTCTTCTTGTATTCTCCAAATTTAGGTTTGGACACTCATAGAAGAACAGCATAATAAATAATGTGGGCTGCTTGTGACAACATACTGCTGTTTTGTTTTGTTTTTTGTTTTCTTCAGTAACTCACCAACATATTCTAACAGCAGGTGTAATTTCTCATGATTACTGTGTTAATATCCAAGTATTCATGAGCATAACCACTATTTTGAGGTGTCTGAAATATCTGTAATTTCAATTGGTGGCAAGTTATACAACTACTGTTAAAGGAACTATGATTTGTTGCCTTATATTCATGTTGTTGTTAAACTGAATAGGTTTTCCAAAGAATGACTGGTGGGTTTCAACTGCCAACCTTGTGTTTTCATTCCCATTAGGAATTGTTGGATTATGGTATTTGTTT